TGCACACACATTGTCACGTCACGCCGTGACCATCTTATATATATCGGACCACCCCCCAATCTCGTAAATGCTAGAGCACTCCCGAAGGAACGGGATAGTTCTAGAAACGTGGCGTGACACTAGTCACGTGACCTTGCTGACGCAACAATAGTTTTCAGTTATTTCTCTTTGGAGTGTAGTTTGTTTTTTAAATTAGGAGTAAGGTAAACCAGATTAGAAGGATGTAAAGTGTACTACAAAACAACGAGACACTGTATTATTATCAACACTAGTTTCTACAAGTGCACATTGTATTAGAATTTGTAGTGAGTAATGAACTGATAATAATGATGTTTATTTAATAGTGCTATATTATACAGTGTTATTGAACGTTGAGTAAGACAAGTTAGTGTTGTCAGTGTCACCTGCACTGTTATGCTACTTGATCTTTGACATAGTTTTTAACTTCAAATTTTTATTAAATCCTTCAGTAATTTTGTCCTGTTTTTCCTGCCTTAGTTCTGGAGAGTGAGAATGTTTTGAAATGCTTAGACAATCTAAACTCATTATAGAAATCAAAACACCATCTGTTTCAAAAACCACAGAAACAATTCTTAAGGACTTCAACATTTACAGTTTTTATGCTATCTAGAAAACCATAATTTACCTTTTTTTGTTCTACTGTTCAGGTAATGATACTGATATTTTCATAAGTTTCAGTTTTGAGTCTGTTCATTACATTCAAACATAATTAAAATTGTAATTTTTGTCTTTGAATTTCAAATAGACATCAAATGTATTAATGTTATACAAATTGTTTTAAGATAGTATTAAAATATAGATTAAAAAAAGCAACACAAAATGCTGCATTTTACAATTGTGTGTGTTCAAAACTTATTCCTTGGTCAATGTAAATTCTTTAAATTTGATCTAATGTTTTGTAGATAATGGTAAAACAATGCTAAATTGTTTATTTCAGTTTAATGATGTATTTTTTTCTGAATAATGTAATGCTTCCATATTAGAATGATGAAAAATGTTTATATTTTTACTGTATTGTTCAAGATAACAATTTTAAAAGTATGAAAATAATTACACAAGTTTGTTACAGTGTAATTACATTCCAGATTCAAAATGGTTGTTGAATCATGTATCTGTATAGAAAGTGTGCACTAGACAAGACAACTGGAAGATCAGGAGAGTTTTTTTTGTTTTCAGATGATACATAAAACCTTAAAATCCCATTTTCTTTATTGATCAATATCTTTCTAGGGTACTGTAGAAACTGATTGTGAATCAGCTTTCCAATTGGCTGCTTTGGCTCTACAGGTTTCTGAAGGGGATTATGTTGAGTAAGTTGTTTTATTTGAAGTCAAGATAACACACAAACTATATTTCAGATAAAAAGATGTTTTCTTTGGCCAATGCTTGAATATTAATCTTTTCATCACCAAGCATTTTAATTTTATTCCCAGAAACCAAAAAAAAATTGGGAAGTTTATATATCTTATTTATTGTATACCTTATTGAGGAAAGACCCTAGAAACCCTATATCATTGGATTCAATGTGAAAAACCTCTTGTATTTGATTTATTGTATGTCTTATTTAGAAAAGACCCTAAAAACCCTATATCATTAGATTCAATGTGAAAAACCTTTATCAGTACATGCCCAAATAGACCCTGGAAATCAAAACAGTAGGTGTATTAAGTTATCATTAACAAGGGGTTAGGTTTCTCAACATGACTAAAAGGTCTTTACCAGCACACAGATTTATTTGACCTGATTAGAATAAGCCAAGTGCAATAGTAAGTTGTGCATTTATTTGACTAAAATTGAAAAATCCTATGTGTTACATTGTTTAGACCATCTAAATATAAAAATATGTTTAACTTCATTAATTTCAGCAGTATTATATTTTTTAAACACATTTGATGGGGTATATGAACAACAATGGCTGTACTGTAGTACTTGATGGTTCTTTATCATCTTTGATTTCATGATTTGTTTTTTCTAGTGCCTCGACCTTGTTCAAAACTTTCTAATTGAATTACACACTGTGAACTGTAAACCATTCCTATTTTACTAGTTTACTTTCATGCTGGATTCAGTGTTAACAGTGGCCATTACACACTGTGAATGTAAACCATTGTTATTTTACTAGTTTACTTTCATGCAGGATTCAGTGTTAACAGTGGCCATTACACGCTGAACTGTAAACCGTTGTTATTTTACTAGTTTACTTTCATGCATGATTCAGTGTTAACAGTGGCCATCACACACTGAACTGTAAACCATTGTTATTTTACCAGTTTACTCTCATGCATGATTCAGTGTTAACAGTGGCCATCACACACTGAACTGTAAACCATTGTTATTTTACCAGTTTACTCTCATGCAGGATTCAGTTAACAGTTGCCAGAAGCAGAGAATCACTACACATGGTGTATGAAAAGTTCCTCCAATGTTGCAATTATTTTCTCTCTTACCATTGCTCTATTGTTATTTTCTGAAAAATAAACAGTAAAACTTTGTTTTTAAGTAATTGATAACAAATAAATTATTTGTGTTGTAATTGTGTTACATTTATTTATGTATAAACCATATGACTGAGGTGAATGTCCATATAATTGAGGATTTTTATCTTGTGACCAGTGATGACAAGACTAAAACTCTCCTGAAAAAGTTACCAGTGCTTCCAACAAGCGTTTTTAAAGAACATCCATCTTTGCAAGTTTGGTATGTATGTATGTCTGTATTTCAAGTAAAGTTTCAACAGTGTAGCCAAAGTAAAAATTGTGATGGATAGATATTGGATATAAAATAAAATCATGTCAAACCATTCCCACTTTTATTGGAGTTATAGTCTTATGCAACAAATTGACATTATGTCAATCCAAATAATCAACCATGTTGTTTACATTATGTCTAAATTTAGCATTCAGGGTTTAATCATTTGTCAATATGATATGTAACAGGTTGATAAGTTTATAAGATGTTGTCTTTTCTATCTCTAAGTTTCTTTTGTACAGAAGTATGTTATGTTAATAAAACAGTAAATCAACCAAAAATGGTTTATATAAGCATATTTATAGATAATTGTTGGTTAATTTACTGTTATTATGTTATTATTTTATGTGTGTTTTTCTTGAAGTTCGGAAAGGTAGCTTGATAAGATGGTTGACAGTTGCAAAGTATATTAAGTTTCTTGCTCTCTTTTTTCCATACATTTATAATAATAATTCAGGTGTTGTTAAAAATCACAATTTTAATTTTACGTTTCTCTTTTCTTTTTTTTCTAGCAAGGATAAAGTAATAACATACTACAAAAAGCTTTTAGGTCAGTCTAGAGGAGAAGCTATTGTCAAGTAAGTCATATTTCCAGCTAGATAACCCTACATGCATGGGTGGGGGTCAAAGTGTGCATGCCATGACCTTTTTACAGAATGTCATTCAATACAGTATTATGTATTTGATATCAGAACTATTCATTTTACCCTACACTGCACCTTGCTTTCAAGTTATACTTCCAGCTTAAGAGCAACTAGTTAAACAGTCACACCTTGCTTTCAAGTTATACTTCCAGCTTAAGAGCAACTAGTTAAACAGTCACACCTTGCTTTCAAGTTATACTTCCAGCTGAAGAGCAACTAGTTAAACAAAGTTTGCTTTCAAGTGATACTTCCAGCTGAAGAGCAACTAGTTAAACAGTCACACCTTGCTTTCAAGTTATACTTCCAGCTTAAGAGCAACTAGTTAAACAGTCACACCTTGCTTTCAAGTTATACTTCCAGCTGAAGAGCAACTAGTTAAACAAAGT